CTTAGAGAAATGCATAAAGGTCTATATTCACTATATGTATTTATTGAACAAATAGCACTAAGCAATGTGTGGAGGGTCTTAAATTACTAGGCATTTGGTCATCACTGTCACTTTAATTTGGCTTTATTCATCTGCTTTCCATCAAATTACAAATGCTGGCCAGTCACAACAACTGAGAAATGCTGCTGCTTGCATTGCAGATCAGTCCCTAGTACAGGACTCCAACTGCACACGGCTGGCATCTACACTGGTACCTGTCAATATCCTTCAGTACATGTTTAGACATTTAAATCCATATAACATAAAGAGCAAAACCCACTAAAATTCTGTGAACTTCCTTTAGAATTTGTCCTGGAGGCAAAGCATTCTGTAAGTCCCACAGAATTTCTTCAGGAGGAGCAGAGGGAGAGAAAAGATAACCAAGGACAGCCATGAAATAGCATCCCTTCCCTTCAAAGGAAATTACAGCCAATATTTTAGGAAATTTTTTTTGTCCTTAAAACTTTACTGGAACATTAGCACAGCTCTAAACACATCAGAGACAAGTGTCTGTGATTGTCATATCTATAGTAGAAGGATCACTTCAAATACACCAAAACATCATTACAATCTTGGTGATTTTTTTAACTACATACACCACTGGCAATCCAACTGTTTCTCCCCTCCATCGTTCACTTGCTGCAAATTTTCTTAAGGCTGCCACTTTTAATCCTTCAAGAACAATTGAAACAAATCCTTTTTAACAAATTCTGATCAGCATTTATGCTCATCTAAGGTAGCACTTATCTCTTACTGCAAACCAAACCATAAATTAAAGTCTTTTGAGCAGGTTCAATCGATACAACTTGTAACCACTGGTTTGGGTTGGAAAGGACCTTTAAAGAATACCTAATTCAGCCTCTTGCCATGGGCAGAGAGGTGGACATCTACTAGATTAGGTTGCTCGAAGTCCTATCCAACCCGGCCCTCGAACACTTCTAAGAATGGGGCATCTGCATTTCCCTGGGCAACCCATTTCCATGTCTCAACATCCTAATTGTTAAGAATTTCTTGCTTAGATTTCAGTTCATCCTTTACTTACAGAGGCCTAAATCTCTAGAGGCCCTGGTGTAAAGTCTTTCTCCATTTTTGTTATAAAGCCCATTTTAAAGTACTTCAAGGCAGAAGTCAGTTCTTCCTTTGTACTGGCAAGAGTGGTTTTGCGGTTAAAATGAAGATGAACTACAAAGCAAGCACCAAGTAAAATGAAAGAGCTCTGTCAGAATCAGCTAGGCTCTGTCCATGGCCAGCTCATGCTTCAGAGTCATGTTGCTCCACAAGGAGGCTCAGGAGGGAAACAGGGCAACATGCCAGGGGCAGGGGCAAGGGCCACGCAGTGTACAAAGACCGCTGCCAGAGGAATCTTGAACTAACAAGGATGTGAAGCAGTACCAAATTTGTCAGCTATAAAAGTAAGTAATCTAACACAGTACAAAGAGGAGAAACAAGAAGGACGCCTGAAGACAATGGGCTAATAACACACAGTACCACTAGTCCTCACCATTAGAATCAGACACCTACTGACAATAAAGCTATTGTAACTACTAGTCTTGACTTGATATGTACCCTCAATGGGAACTGATATAACCTGATTTTAGTGCTTTGCAAAGTAACTCGATCCTGGACCTGTTCTTCCACTGTTTGAAACTGCATGTCCTGCAAGTTTTCTACATCTGAGAAAAAAATGTCCTTATCTTATGCATATCTTTCTCGAGCCCATCTCTGCAATACAGCCATAAATTAAACACAAGAAAATGGACCACCAAGCCTGTAGGAAAAGCAACAACAGAAACACTGCAATGAATTGGGTTGTTTGAATTGGTGTTGGATTTTTAAAATACTTGTATGTTCTGTTCCTACAGATGTGTGATGACCTCTATGAGCTGCATAACAGTGTAACAAATGGGTAATTCACTTGCTCCACAAAACACAGATTACTGTACTATTTAAGAAAAGATGCCATCTGTAATATAGTTGCAAATCACCAATGCTTTTTAGACTAATAGATAGAGAAGTTTAGTTAAAGTTAAATTAACTGACAAATTATAACATGCCTATTCTAGAGCCTGTAAGACAATACACTAAATCACTTAAAGATTTCTTCTTAGAAAGCACTGTATTCCAAATTATAAACAAATTATAAATTCCTGAAGTATTTAATTGCCTGAAATATTTCATCTGAAAAAGACCCAACATTCAGTTTTCCTGATGCTTCATAACCCGGTTTGTAAAACAAAGACTAGAACCAGGCTGCAAGCCAACAATTATCAACTATTATATGGGATTTAACTATTCCCCAAGTCAAAGGAACTATGTTTAAAGCTATATAGTATTTCAGTTTCTTTATAAATCACTTCAATAGTGAAAGTTGTTTGACCAGTTTCAGTATTATGTCAACATAAAAATATCTGAAACCAAGAAATATTAAGTGAAATTAATCTCAGAGAACGCTGGAAAAATTTCAAGCAGTGGGAACTACAGGAAGATTAGTAACTAGCATTTAAAAATATTTTGTCTTCAGAGAAATTATCTGTCTTAAATATAGGTTAAACAAATTAGAAATAATAAGTAAAGCATACTAAATGAGCATTATCATTTTTTTCACCAAAGAATTCTTAGCATGATTTAATTTGTAGTCAGAACAATCTACAGTATACCAGTCCTGAAACAAATGTGCCAAGCTTACTATGAAGCAAGCACATAGATATATAATTTTAATACAATTATAGATATCTGAAATACTAGGGTTCCTCAAATATATCAGTTGCAGTGTTCTTTTCTAAATTAGCAATATGCATTGCTTTCTTTAATGAAACTTCTATTTTCTTGTTTTCCTATGAAGAGCTGTAAGAGGGAAAACAGCCATGGACAGAAGAGGGAAAATGGCCACGGACCAAACACCACTGTTTGGTACATGGAGGATGGGGGAAGAAAAAAAAGATGCATTTTGGCAGTCTATTTTACTCACAAAAAAAATAATAATTTTCTTCCTTTCTTGTTTTCCCTCATTAGCCAACAAGAAGCACCAGATCTACTCACTACATGCATACTGCATGCCTAAGAAAATTAAGGGATGAAATGGAAGGTAAGAGCAGCAGTCTCAGCCTCAAGTTGCACCTCGAAGATCAAGAGTTGCCTGTAGTCTGGCCTACCACTGAACAAGCACAATACCTCTTTAACAAAGGAAAAACATCTGGCAGGTTACATGGAAACCTCTGCTGCCTGAACCCTTCTTTACTGGCCTGAATGCTGCCTCCAACATTTGGAATGATAGACAAGGGAAGCTCACGCTACTGACCTTTGCTCACCTTGCAGGCACTATGAGGGAGAAGACGAGTTCATCAAAAACTTAAAGAAAGATCTCCCAGGTTTGTTCATGAGTATATGAAGCTTGTCTTACATTAAATGTAAATGAGTTAACCAGAATATTCAAAAGCTTCTAAGGCAATTTTCAAGAACAGTTTTAACTAGTTTTTGAAAGACACGTATTCTCTAGTAATAGGAAATACAACTATTTTAATTAGTTTTTCTAAGCAACAAAATAAAAAGACATTCCTAGAATTATGTAGATCAGTAAAATGAGTTCATTATAATTACTTACTATAGTGTTATTGTGTAATTTTTTAATTTCACAAAGTTGGACGCAATGGAAAATGATCTTGATATAACCTACAAGAAGCAGTCTAAACACTTGGAAATGGTGAAATTATATAATCACACATGCACATACAAAAAGACTAAGCTACCAAAAGCACCAGTCTCTGCTTCTCAACTCTATTTGACAGTTCCAAAATCCAGGCACACATCCAGAAGAACTTTCTGCCCCACGCCTGGTCAGTAAAGAAATTGAGGTTAACCTTTAATTTTTAATGTCACCTGCAGCCAGTGACTGCTTTTTCTAATGCAAGTGACAGATAAACAGCAAAACACTCCCAAGATGATACACAAAGCACCACATACCATAAGTGCATTTTTATTTTTATACCAACTCAATTTCTCAAATGGATAACCAATGTTCCTACTAATTTACATTAAGAATTGAGTGAGGCATGAAAATTGTTCTGATGCATAGGCTCTATTTCTTTAATGTACTGCATAGTGTTCTGTACTTTATTGCAACACTGGAAAAAACTAACTACACTTAAAAGGTACAGAAACTACATATCCAAGCTCATATACGTCTTAAAAAATCACTTCAGAAAGGAGTTTTAAATTATCCAGAGAATAGGAAGGAAAAATAACTAATTAAAGGCACTGATGGAAGTCAGTAAAAATAAAAAAAGTACCTATTAAAATGAGTTTACTGACCTTTAACTACTTGAACTAGTGTGTTTCTATAGATCAACACTAGAACTTTAAATCTGCATTTCTAGGATTTCCAATTTATAATTCCTTTACACAATTCAATACTATCACCTTAACATTTGCAAGGTAATTCCAAACTAAACAGAGGGAATATGGCAAATTGAAGTAATATAGTCTAGCTATTTAAGGCCAAATTGGCAAGTCTTTAACAGTAAACACTGTATCATTACTAAACACTGCCATGTTGTTAATGTTAAGGAGAGGTTTAAATTAGAGAGTGAATTGCCCCTTCAGGTCGGGACTTAGGGCATATTATGGGAGAAAGAAAAGAAATGCTCCCACTGACACAGTCCATGTTCCACCAGTTCTGTGGGAAGCAGACTGCAATACAGTTATCAGTCAGTTTTAACACCAAATACTACAGTCACTATTTTCACTTGTCTTTTAAAATTTAATGCAGCAAACTGGGGAGAAAAGAACCTATGTTTGTAAAGTAAGATTTCTTTTGATACAGAAATGGTAAGAAAATAGCTTTTGGACAACTGCAGGAGACACATCACAAACATTTTTATAAATGTTAAATGTTTAACTATGACATTAATGAAAATGAGGCAGAGTCAGTTTGCTTTAAAAAAAATACAGAAGAATTAACTCACATAGGGGCAGGTGCTCAAACACAAAGGAGACAGCTGTCTTCAGGAGGATATTCTCTACACATTCAACAGGCAAATAGCACTGGGATATGCCCCAGCCACCAGGAGCAAGGAGGAAGCTGGAATGGCAATCCTGGTACCAGACTTCTGGGCTTGACCTTCAGATGGAGAATAAATATACTTAATGAAAAAAAAATCCTAAGAATAGTTTGAGGTTTTTATTTGATTTAACAAGATTCAAGTTAAGGATTCAAGACATAAGACACTGAATTTCTTCTGGACATTTCAATATAACAAAAACAAAAGGGACTGAAATTAGCTTAAGTATTTTCAAGTCAAGTAAGTACTGTATTTCACATAATCATGAATCAGGAGAGATAGAAACAACATGTAAAGTAAATTAATGTGGTTTAATTTATTTATTTTTAAGATGACAATAATGGTAGACAAACAACTCTAACAACTTGAACATTATGGAGACTTATTCAGCATTCAACCTCAAATTTTTATCAAATGTGACTCTTGGATATTTCTCAGCATTATTTCAATTTCTCCTCATGTGAATGAACTTCTTAATAACATGTATCTTACAAATTTCTGTAATTTGGTATTTTAGACCTATTTTCTAGAAAGTTATTCATTCATTATTGATAAGACCATAAGAAGTTGTATAAGGTTCAACAGCATACTACAGCTGGTTACAAACACACTCACACTAAAAATGTTGAAGGTTATGGTTCTAAGAAAAATTTAACGAATGAAACATAAGCAACTGATCAGCCATCTATCTTTCATTAACTCTCCTTTAACTGTTCAAATCACAAAAAATCACAAAAAAAAAATTCAAACAAACCCTCATCAAAATATGTTTATGCAGAATTTTTCAGCAACTATGACATGACTGAAGTCTACTCATGGCAGGATAAAATTATATTTTAAAATAATCCTTCCTGTTACAAATATGCAAAGCTAATAGTGTTGAAATGGAAACACCATCTTCCCTTTTTGAAAAGGTGGTACTTTACTGTTTCTCTATAGTGTTTTCAACAGGAAATGTGAGAACACAACCATCTAGACATTTTTATAAAAGTCCTAAATGACAGTGATTTTGCAGGTAAATACTCAAAAAGCTCCTGAAATCTGACCAATGTTGTCAGATTACAGTGTAATCTGAGACTGTAATATTACAGTGTTGTAATATTTAGAAACATACCACAAAAAGCATACTGACTTGTTAAAAAAAAAAAAGGTATTTCTTTTGTAAGAAATTAAATTAAAGGTAATTGTCTACTCTTGAGTATATAAAACAGTTCCAACTGAATAGTGGGTTTAGGGGTATTTCTTGTAATTTGGATTAGCATTCTAATTACCACATACTAGCACATAAATGTATTTTTATTCTAGAGCATACTTTGAGTTATTAAGTCTGGCATTAAATTTTGTAACAAGATGTAATATATCTAATTCAAGAGGGCTTAGAGTATTCCTGTATTACTTATTAATATGTTAAGTGAATGTTTGGACAATTGATTTCAACTAGGTTTTGTGACTAAAACATGTGACAAAATACAATTTTCAAATTACATAGTCCATTTGTCATAACTACTGTTCTTTCTAATTTCTATAGGTGTTAACAAATTAAAGAAAAAAAGCCACACTGCCTAAATAAAGAACTGTAACCATTTCAGAATCTAAAATAAATCATCAGCATTAGCAAATGTGTCCATTTAGCCAGTAGCAAAGCATCCTTTGCTGTTCTACCTTCCCGTTGCCTTCATTTGCTTTTTATACCCTCCTTTCTGCATTTCCACCCAAACTCTATATGTGTATATTTGCAGGGGACCTACTACAGTGAGACCACAGTCTTGTACTGAAGCAACAATGAACAATAACAAATGCACTGCTTGAGTACCACAAGCCGACTCAGTCACAGGTGGACCCAAGTTGACTGGTTGGTTTAATAACATCAATATATTTAAAACACTTATTCTGTCAATTCTTACTGAAACAACAGAAACATCCCTAGCTAATGGCTTAAATAATGTTCACGCAGCAAAATAAATAGAAAATATTACTCTGTGTAAGTTCTGAAAAGAGAGGTGATGACAATGTATTTCACACCAGTTCAGCACAAAGATTTTTGTGTGATTCATACAGTTTTGACAGTTTTTTCAACAAGTTAGACTGCAAAATGGTCCCTATGCCCGCATTGATGTTTTCTGAGTTACAAACAAGTGAGATAGATTAGGGAGAATGGGAAAAGTATGATCTCCATTGGAGCATTTGGCCAGCTGAAATAAAAAGATGGACTTACTGTGAATATGAAGAAAATCATCTCAGAAAATGAAAAAAGATGAAGACATTAATAAGTAGCCAGAGTAACTTACAAAACAGAATAGAATATTACATTAAGATTTTTATTACCATGACGAAAGATATAAAGATTCTTTTTCTTGAAAAATAAGAAAAAGTAACTTTTTACATGAGCTATTAGTAAGTACAAACAGAATCTGCCTGTATTTTAGGAAAAGTGATGGCATCCTCATGTAGACAGCTCATTTTGAAGGATATCTACTAGACATTTCTGAAACCTACATGAGGACTGCATAAATCAATACCATCACAAATGCAGACCATCTGTCAGATGTCTTGAACATCATTTACAGAAAACAGTCTTCAATATATGAATATAGTCTTAATATATGAATATACGAATAAAGTCTTAAATAAATTAATAAAGTAAGGAAATAAAGATATTTCCTAACTTACACAAAAACCTCCATTGCCACATATGATGGAGGAAAGCAGGAGTTCAGTATCATATGCTAGTAGAAGGTTCCTAACAACTAGAATTACTCCAATGTTTAAAGGAGTAGGTATCAGGAAGCAAACACAGGTAATCCACCTTAAACCTCTAAATGGAAGTGTTTAGAGAAGCTACTTTTTTAAGGTAACAAAACAGGTACAATAGTACATACCTTTCAAAGAAGCATTTCTGCTTCCCATGGTCAACTAGTCACACAACTACATTCTGCTTGGAAGACTGAGAACATGAAAACATCCCAATGCTTTGCCACATGTTCTCAGTAAGCCTTACTTCACTCTTTTTTCAAAACACATTAAACCAAAGGGCAGGAGGAGGAAAAGGGGATGGGAACAAAGAAAAGAAACTAGTCTGATTTTACTATTGTCTGTTCTTCCTCCCTCAATACTGTCTCTATTAAAAAAAAATTACAGAACTAAGAATACATGTAGTAAACAAATTATCTTGATATTTCACTATTTTAGTAAATACATTTGATTAATTTCTCATCAAGATGCAGTGGTATTTCAAAGACTTATGCTGAGGGATTCAAATCTGAATTCTTTTCACACTCTCTTAAAGTAAATAAATTTTAAATTAGACTTTAATTTCAAATAGCCATGTGCTGCTTTTTTGATATCTGTGCACCATAATACAGAATTAAAACCCAAAAATACTAACATTGACATCCAGATGCAATGAAAGTATTTTAAGAAGAACAATTCCTTTAAAAACAGAATATATGGCTTGTTTAAAGTATGGAATTTGGTTACTGAAGAGAGTCCCACTTTTGCATTGCTTTTCAGGTATACATACACACAAAGGAGCATTCTAAGATGCCAGAAGCCAAGAAAGATACACTCTTGTACAGGTCTATTAAATCTGTGAATGCAAGAGCTGCTGCATTTCACAGTCTATTATTTATATGACAGAATGAAGATCTGAAAACATGAAATATAGCCTTAAATTATTCACTTATTCTTTTCACAAAAGGAGAAACCGTCAATCTAACACTAAAAGACTTCAAGCATATTTCTAAAGGTTTCACGAAAATTGCCTTATTTATCAAAACTTTATTCCCTCCGTTTGTTCATTAAACACTGTAGCTTTGCATTAAGGTCAAGCAGTGTCAACCAATTACTGTTGTTGGAAAAGTCCTACTTCCTTAATACTCAAAGAAACCATGGTATACAGTGAATTATTTTAATAGGCAAACTGAACACTGTTTATCCAAAGTACATTTCAACCATAAAAACATATTTTAAGGGTTTCTATCAACAATCAATTATAGTACTATTTATTATCACAACAGCATTAAGCATGATTCTTTGTCTGCTTAAATGCCAACCTTAAAAAATATACATCTATTTTAGCATATTCAGCAACATTCTGTTCTTAGCTCATAATAAAGGAAAGTAACAAAAATTAAGTGACCTATAAAGCAAACTGAAAGGTAAAAGATAAAACACTGAATTTTAAAGAGACAGTATCAATAGGTATAAACAATTATTCTGTTCTCATTCTCTGCTGGTGGGCAACAGGGCACAGCTTATATGACAGACCTGAAAAAATTCCACCCTGTTTTCACTACTCCTAATTTTGTAGCTTTATATCAGGGTGAAATTCTCCATCTTGCAATATATGAGAAGAGCAAGTGGTCACACACAAATTTATTGAACACCAAGAAAAGGCCACTCATAGGCCATCCTACCCAATACCAAAGTCCAAGTCATTCAGGATAAAAGGATTTCCTTTTGTAAGAAATTCAAGGTAATTTTATATTTTGATTTAACAGCCCAGGACAAAGTCCCCTATGTCCGACCAGACCCATTTTAATGGCCGGCAGTTCAAAAGGCTACAATGATGATTTTACTATGTAATCACTTCTAATCTTACATTTCAGAGAAGCAAAATTTTGGATCTCATTTCCTTTTGGAACTGACCTGTTTATTGCCATTCCACCTAGTATATAAGCTGTGACAAAGGAACACAATATTCTGATGGTAACCTTTGAAATCTTACTGCTATGAGCCTAACTGTGCCTTTCTGAAGTTACAAAACATGCAAAAACAAAGACAATTTCTTCTACACATTGTGTCAGCTTGTCTCACTGGAAAAAAAGTTTTCATCCATGTCCTGTACCAGTGATCAATGATACATACAGTGATACAAGACACACATGCCATTGCTACAAACAAGGAAAGGAAATAAAGTAACAAAAGGAATTTAAAAAAACCAAACCAAGCCAAAACAAACAAAACAAAAAAAACCAAAAACAAAACACCAACCTGAAAAGTTTTGCTGAAATTATGGAGAAAGACATAACATCTGTTGTCTCATTATTTCTAAAAGATC